GGTTCCTCCTTCTGTCACCCCTCATGTACCCTAGGAGGCTAGGTGTTCCTCTATTTAAGAGAGGACAATCCCATAACAGATCATAGTGAACTCTTGCATACCCCTTCCAACGGTCCCAACATCCTCCTGACCTTTTGTGATCTGCGTAGTTTGTAGGGTCTCTACTATCCTCCTTCTAACTCGGTGTTATCTTGGTATCCAACTCAAGCTCTGATACCAAAATGTAACACCCTAACCCGGCCGGGTACTACTTTTACTAAAATGCCCTTGACAAATAAAATACTAAACTCTTAAATTGCAGCGGGAAAAATTTTCATAAATAAAATACTGAAACCACGCACTTGTAGTTCAAAGCAACGCCCTAACACATGGGCAAACTCAATGCTTAAAATCTCAAAATGATCTCCAGTCTATACTCATAATCATAAATGTAAATAACTACTAATCTCTAATGTTGCTGCTACTGAAAACCTAGACTAAGCATCCTCCATGACGCTTATACTGCTCTCATCTAGCTGGCTGGCCTCGAACTCGCTGCTCACTAATTGCTCCTCTAGCTCCTCTAGCTCTTCAAACTGGTGAGTGAGATGGGGTCAGTCTACGCCCTTACGTTTAACATCTTATTAAAACTTGAGCACTTTACTTAACTGGGTCGAAGTTGTTTTGTACTTCCACTATTAAAAAGCTTAACTCTTAAAACTGTATGGGAGTTACTGTTACTCCATCTTTAAATCTCAAAGCTTGACTTAAATACTTGACTGACACAGGGATCCCTCACTAGCTAGTCCCGTTGCCAACTCATACGTATGAGAAGCCATCCAGGCTTTCCTTAAACTTAAACTTAGTTAGGGGAGTCGTAACGATTCATCCCCTAACATCTTAAACTTATCGTGTGGCTCTTCACCACGATTCTCAAGAGCATAACTGCTGCCCATCTTAAAAGTCTAAAGAGCAAAACTGCTGCTCTATCTCAAACTGTCTCAAAAGGCAACGGACTGGCGCTAGTGACTAAAAACACTTAAAACGACTTCACCTTCTTGAATGTGAGTTACTTCTTAAAAAGAACTTGTTTCTTAAACTTTAACAATAACTTACTCAAGAAAATTTCAAGGTAAATAATAACCAGTCATTTCAAGTTATAATTCAAACAAGGCACATATCACCAACCATAATCACGCAATCTCAAACATGAATCAAATACTGCACATACATCACGTAAAGCAATACTCGAAAAATACTCAATGCAAATACTTGAAAATCGTAAAGCGTAGAATTTACCCCCTTTACACTCACCTCAAGTCGCCTTACTCGAATTAACCACCACTCCTGATTTGCTACGTGCATCCTAGTTCCCCTGTGCGAATCCAAAAGCTTTATCTGGCTACACAAAACTTCCTCCCATGTCCATTATCCGAAGCAGACAGGTCTAAGCAAGCACCTGATATAGTAGAGAGTTTATCCATTATGCAGGTCTAAGCAAGCACCCGACATAGTAGAGAGTTCATCCATTATCAGCAGGCACGTCCATTTTCCGAAGCAGGAAGGTCTAAGAAAGCACCTACCGTCCCCATACGCACTGACAATGGCCTGGGTTTGCTTAAGGTAGCATCTCTCATAGAGGGAGTGATGTCGATCTCCCAGAATAGCATCGCCTTCACCTGGCTGCTTAAGGTAGCACCTCCCGTAGTAGAGAGGGAAATCCCTCTTCATCCTCGTGGAAAGGGAAACCACACTCCGTCAACTAGCAGCCCCGCGCGCGAGCACCTCTCGCAGTAGAGGGGACGATCCCTCTTCACCCTCGTGGTAGGGAAAGCACACGCCGATGCCTCTCCGTCGCCTAGAGCCCCACGCGCGAGCATTCACTGCGACCAAGCTGCTCAACCAACATGCTCTCTTACTAGCCAACTGTCCTCCCCCAGGCCGCCACCGCGACCCAGCTGCTCAACCAACCTGGTTTAGGGTGAGGCCGAGTAGAGTCTAGGGTTTAATTAGTGGGTATTTTGGGAATCTCGCAATTACGTATGAGTTTAGTTCGAAACTTAATTAACGTCCGTAACTTTCTCATTTTATGTCGAAATTCGACACCGCTTGAACCAATAGTTCCAATTTTTAATCCTCATCGACAATACGGTGGAACTTGACTCAAGGGTATAATAGTCATTTTGACTTTTGGGAAAAGCGGGGTGTAATAGTTTCGTTTGCCACGTCATCATAACTGACGAAGATTGACGGCCGGTTACTAATCGTGAAACGAATCGTAATGTTAGTGACGAATGTGAAAGAAAAATAATTCGAGTGGCAAACGTGAAAGATTTATATAATTTGAGTGACCAAACGTGTAATTTAGCCGAATTACTTGTATACAATGACTAGCATAGAGTCTGTTTGGGGCATTGGCCGGGTTGTTCAAACGACCCAATTATTTCATTTCTTTTTTTATTGTAAACTGATGATATAGACATGAGTGACAAAGTGCATTCATCTGCATTGGTATACGCATGAACATTACGGTTTGAACGAATAATCGTGTAGCTAATTCAAATACCTCCAATTAGTTTGTAATAGGGTGATCATATAAAAAGGGCTAAATTACAAGTTTGGTGACTCGAATTGCTACAAAATTTCACGTTTGGTCATTCGAAATGGTTTATTCCATTTGTAGTTACTTAAATTAGTTGAACAGTCCAAGTTCGGTCACTCTCCGTTAACTTCCGTTAGACTCCGTTAGTGCCGTCAGTTAACTGCTGACGTGGCTAACAGAGATGCCTAGTCACCCAATTTTAACCCAAGAAAAAACAGAAATTGACCCGCCACATCAGAAAAACCTGCCACCACATATAAACACAACCCAACCCACCCAACCTAAAAAAACTCATTAACCCACACCAAAACCCCTTACGGCCGAGCGATTCGCCTCCGCCGTCGCCACAAAGTTCGGCAATAATAATAACAGTACCACCACCACTACACCGCTCGGCATCAGATCCGTGAGGATTGATTTTGCCTACGAGTTCCCCGACCCCGATTGGGGCGTATTACTCTACTCTACTTTCCTCGATAATGTGTTGAAATCGGCCGCGACGAGATCTCAATCTCCACAGGAGATCGACATTAGGTGCAGATACATGGAAGATTTCGGCGAATTCGACGGCCGATTAACCTACGACATCCCCAAGGGCTTGTTATTGCTCCCCTGCCGCTAGGGATGGCAAAAATATCCGTAACCGTGGATATCCGCCCGAACCCGACCTAATCGGGTAGGGTAAAACCCGAACCCGAAGGACATTTAGTGGGTACGGGTAAAACCCGAACCCGAATATTGCAGGTAATGGGTGGGCATGGGTTTCTTAGTATCCAACCCGAACCTGCCCGATTATACACATACATATGTATTTTGTCTAGAAATAGTCATTATTTTTCTCTAACATATTTTATATTTAGCATATAAATATAATATTTTCATGAAATTGTGTTGTTTTAATTAATTTTCTTCATTCTAGTGAATTATTGTCATACTTTTCCTCTTGCGTAATGTGAGAATACGTGTGAATGTTAATATATTAGTTGGAGTTATGAAGAGAAATCATTACCCATGGATAACCGTGGATACCCGAAACCCGAACGGGTATGGGCATGGTTTTAATTTTCTACCCGTTTCATATGTGGGTATGGATATGGGTAAAACCCGAACTACTTTGGGTAGGGTAACGGATATGCACTATCCGTCCCCAACCCGACCCATTGCCATCCCTACCTGCCGCTAGGGTTGTTAATGAGTCGAGCAATTCGTGAGTGGCTCGGTCTTGAACTCGTGAACTAGTTCGATTAGGTCCCAACATTGTGGCTAGAGAGCCAACTCGACTACGACTTATGAGAAAATCAATCTATATTTTATGAGTTGGTTTGTTAATGATGCATATATTTATTAAATTGTATATATCACCTCATATGGTGTTTAATACATTGAGTATATGTAAGCAAATACGTCTCATATATGACATAACATTAGGTAATCACATGTATCACATATGACATATAAATATTAGGGTATTTATAATATAAATTATCTTAGAATTGAGCTCGAGCTGAACTTCGATGTTAATGAAGTGTTAAGATTTACTCTGCGGTACGTCAGGTCACCCGACGACCGTATCCCTGATTGCGGCGACGGAGGAGGCGAATCGCTCGGCCAGAAGGGGTTTTGGTGTGGGTTAATGAGTTTTTTTGGGTTGGGTGGGTTGGGTTGTGCTTATATGAGGTGACATGTTTTTCTGACGTGGTGGGTCAATATTTGTTTTTTCTTGGGTTAAAATTGGGTGACTAGGCATCTCTTTTAGCCACGTCAGCAGTTAACTGACGACACTAACAGAGGTTAACGGAGAGTGACCGAACTTGGACTGCTCAACTAATTTAAGTGATTATGAATGAAATAAACAAATTCGAGTAACCAAAAGTGAAATTTTGTAGCAATTCGAGTGACCAAACTTGCAATTTAGCCTGTAAAAAGAGAGTAGCTGTAAACAAAACAAAAAACCATCGAATAACAACATAACTGTTTCCCTCTTCTCGCTTGTTGCTTCTCCTTCTTTCCTCTGGTTTTATTGCTTCTTCCTTCTCTTCTCTTTCCTTCTTGTTCTTCTTCCCAATTCTTCCTCAATTCATAAGTTTGGGGACTGCTTTGTAATTGAGCAAGTCATATAAATAGGTAAGCTGTGTACTGAGCTGGTTATCGAATGAGAATTTACCAGAACTGTTTACCTACTTCTTCCCTTCCTCTGCTTCTGATCTTCCTCTTCTGCTAATCTTCTTCTTCAATTCTCATTTCTCTTCTCAAACCCCTCTACTCATCTCTTCAATTTCCAATTGTTGATACTCAATCGCCAAGACTTGATCCAGCATCACTCCGGGACGCTACAAATTGGTATCAGAGCCTCTTCTTGGCACAATGACAACCATGGTTCCGTCGATGCGGACGATAGAAGACCTGTTAGCCGTCAATGCTAATCCGGCGACTGCACCGACGCTTCGAGCATCTCTCGCGGTTTCAGAAGTGGCGTTCTTGCGATGCATGATCTCGTGCAGCAGATTCGACTGACAGCTACGGGAATCGCCTCTTTCTCAGACTTACGTCGACCAACTCCGCATCTGCCAGACGTATCCCGATACTTTTTCTCCATCCAACACCGATGGTGATCTCCTCGGTAACCCATCGCCTTCACTGTTGGCGGAGAGAGACGTCGATCGGAGTGCCCTACTGCCAATTCCAGAAATTCGGCCGCCAACTGTTCGACGATATGCCGAAGTGGACGTTGACTCAGGTATCCCTTTCTTGTGCGGAGCAGGTCAGCCAGAGGGTTATTTCTCAGTCTGCCATGGAGAATTTCCAGCTGGTGGTGACGCATTGACGATCCCAGAAAGCCTTCCTCCACTTGTTCGACAAAATGCCGCAGAGAAATTCGTCTCAGGTATTCCTTTCTTCTCGGGTAATAATCCACGGGAATGGGTTAGTAAGTGTGAAAGGGTGTTCGAGAAGTATAGCCCTCCGAATGCACATCGAGTTTTGCTGGCGGCAAGGTACTTTGAACACGGGCCAGAAACCTGGTTTGTGGGGTGGAGATATGGCCGTAAGGAGCTGGTTTGGGGTGAGTTTGTAGCCGCCCTATGTAAACGTTTTGCTGATGGATCATTTAGTGGAACACTGGCTGAATTCAACAAGTTGAGGCAAAGAGGTTCATTGTTGGAGTACCAAGAAAAGTTTGAAGAACTACGATCTCAGTTGGTTAGATATACTTGTATTCTAGATGAAGAGTATTTCATTTCGAGGTTTATTAGCGGGCTGGAAGAAGTATTGAGGAGCGTGGTTCAAATGCTGCAGCCCCACACATTAACTGAAGCTTATCAGCAAGCTCGGTTGGAGGAAGTTGCCATTGAGGCCAACAACAGGAAGAATCATTTGAGGAGTGTAGATGGAGATGTATTGACTTCCCCTGTTAGCACGAGAAAACAGGCTTTGGATACTCCTGATAAAGCAGCATCGGGTATGACAAGTGCAGATGTTTTTGGTGATTGTTTAGCTGTAACAAAAATGGGGAAAGACGATGAGTATGATGAGCATAAGGACACAACTCCGTACCTTGCAGTCTTGGACACAATGGGAATTGACATAACAACTGTAGCGTCTCCCAGTAGCATGGAATCAGAATCGAACCTGAAAAGGTCTAACTTGGCAAAAAAAGAACTCAAGGCTGAAGGTGAGGTACTGATGGCAAAAACTCATATATTAGCTACAGATGTGGTTCAGAAACCAGAGTTCAAGTTACTGAATATAAATGGCAGTTTCACTATGCAGTCAATCTCTCATTTGGCTGCCAATGCTAAGGCTATTGCTGGGCAAACCATTGATTTCATTTTTTGTCCAAGTGCTGTTGATTTTAGGACTCTGGATGTCGTTGTGAACTACTGCAACTCCAATAAGGGGTATGGTTTCGTGCCTGAATCAGTGGGTTGCAGGGAAAAACTAAAGCATGGCAGCTGGAATTATGAGTATCGGGTTTATCCCACTTATTATGGTGTTTGGGTAATTTCTGGTGGCAGGGGTAGTAGTCCTGATATCAAAGAACCATATAAAGATGATGCTCCAGGGGTCAGTGTTGGCATGGAGCTGTTTGATCCGGATTTTCAACATGGCTGGAAATTTAATTGCTATCATGAACCTATGTCGATTGTTGGTGCTGCATATGCATTGTGTGGAGTGCATTTTTGCAATGATATTCTTGGTGTTCAAGGTCATGGCAGGGGTCCAACTCCCAACTTTAAGGAGCCTTATAAAGAGGGCTGGTTGGTTGTAGTTCTAACTGTTGTCGGGGTGAAACTCTGTGGTACTGCACTTACGGGTACTTGGCGGTTCAAGGGCTGTAAGGGACTGGAGATGATTGTGGTGATGCTTAGGAGCTTGGTGGTGTGGTGTACTGCTGCACTTTTGTTAATTCTCCTGGGTTGCATAAGCTGCATTTGCTTGTGGTTTCCATTCTTAAGGAGTTCGACGGTAATGGTGCTTGTTGTAAGAGATGAATAACTACTATATTAGTAAAGCAGTGGTGTAGAGTCCATTCTGCTGGGTGCTCATTGTCACTTCTTTGAGCTACAAGATGGCGCAACTCCAGTCTACAGTCGATGTTTTCTTCTGCCACAGGTGGCAACCTGTCTTTTATAATAGTTTTTCAGCTCGGTTACTTGCTGTTCGCATTGCTTTGGTTTATGTTGTCTCCTTTTGTTCTCTAGCCTTGAGGACAAGGCTGTTTTCAAGGGGTCGGGATTGTAACGATTAGGAGTGAATGGTAAAATGTATAAGTTTGGGGACTGCTTTGTAATTGAGCAAGTCATATAAATAGGTAAGCTGTGTACTGAGCTGGTTATCGAATAAGAATTTACCAAAACTGTTTACCTACTTCTTCCCTTCCTCTGCTTCTGATCTTCCTCTTCTGCTAATCTTCTTCTTCAATTCTCATTTCTCTTCTCAAACCCCTCTACTCATCTCTTCAATTTCCAATTGTTGATACTCAATCGCCAAGACTTGATCCAGCATCACTCCGGGACGCTACAAATTACATAATTGATTCTTGAAATGAACCAAACTGATGACTTCTTTAATGTAAATAAGCACAACATCTATGGAATATAAACTAATGTCATATGCAAAAAGAAAAAAACAACTATTGTGAGATATGGCAGAGTTGTTCTGTAAACACGTGAAGCCATAGTTTTAAGCATGTACGAAAACGGCTTGATCAAGCTTCTGAAGCAAGTCGATAAAGAACTTTAGGATCTTGACCTGGACGATTGACTTCGAGAGAAAGAGGATGTTAGCACCTAGGAAAAGCAGTGGTTCTGTCAATCACAAGCAGTTTTGTAGAACTTCTCCAGATTGATAATCTGACAAAAATGTAAGCACTTCTTTTTCTTTTACCTGATACAACTTTGGGCCCTTTTTGAGGAGACAGCCAGCATTGTTTAAATTTTCCACAAAGGTGTCGATATCAGGAACTCTTAGCCCAATCCTGTCCGCCAAACTGTATATATCCTGTTGCACAGACAACAGGGAAGCTTAAATATGGATTAGGATGAGCTATGCTTTACAAGGAAGAAATACAGTAGATGGAACACAAAGAAGGGACTGAGTGAATACTGCGATTGAAAATATATCTTTCTGCAGCAATTCTGACTGGCTGTTGAGCGCGCTTAAAAACCGTTTTGCTTCTTTGTGCTGACTCATTCCCCCACTTCGACCAAAATCCACAACTCCATGCTCGTCGATGTATTTGTCGTACAGCGATTCTTTCATTATTTCGACAACTTCCTGCAAATTCAGATGCAAGAAAAGTGAGGTCTTTTGATGAACTTACCTTCTGCCTCGGTGATAGTCTCTTCTCTAGGTTCATACTGCAATAAACTAACTCACCATTGCATCCTGGGATGTTATTTCTTCTCTCAATTCTAATCGTGCTCGGGCTTCCGCTAGTCGTACCAGACTTTCCAACTGTCTAGCTGTTATGGGTATACCATCAGCTGATGTGTTATGGTCCCTTAGTTTTAAATAGAATTTCTTCAGAATTTCTGCTGCTGGTTTTGTCATCCTGTACGAGGCGAGGCGAGGTAAACGACAACGATCAGGTGGCAGAAATCAGATTCAGTCAAATATGACGGAGTTCAGCAATAAACAAATACCTAGGAAAGACATAAGTTCTAGCATAGGCAATGTATTTTCGAAGAAGTGGGGCCGGCAAAGGAGAGAAATCAGCATCCTTATGAGGGTCAAGCCTCAACCTTGAAGCTAATGACCCATGTCTTACACTTGCATCTATGGCACCATTCTGTGAACCTACAGTTTACTTGACCATGTTCATCACTTGTTACAAGAATGCATCAGATTCTTCAAAACAAGTGTGAACGACAACATGTAAAAATTGGTAGGAAATTGGGATGTTACCAGTTCGTTGTCTTTTTTTTACAGAGGAATGTTCCCTACTTCCAGCATGAAGCTGCAAAGACAAAAATGCACATTCCCAATCCAGTTATGGGTAAAAGACGTGGATGCTTCCTTGGTCTCAACTTTTGCAGCTAAGTATATCAACGCACTCTACACGAACATCAACAACCTTCAATTCTTTCATGAGCCATTTCCAAGACAGAGAATAATTACTTACTGATATAATGTGGTCTGAGAGACGCTTGTCAAGTACTTCATCAGGTTTATCAAGTAATATGAAAACTAAATCGAACCGCGACAGGAGAGCAGCACTCATTTTGAGGTTCTCATTCACCGTCTTTGCTCGGCTGCAAATTGATTCCAGATATCAGAGGTAACTAAGCTACATACCATACGCATGGGTATTCTGCACTTGTAACAATTTTATCCTAGACTAGACACACATCAAGAGAAAATTTATTGAAAGAAAGGGTAGCTTAATAATCTAAATTAGATTACTTATAATGACCACCGACAGGATTCGCTGCAGCTAAAACAGATGTCCTTGCAGATAAGCTTGCTACAAGTCCGGCCTTGGCCACAGAGACACACTGTTGTTCCATAGCTTCCAGTAGGGCCTGAAAATCAAAGTACTTATGTTGACAATCGAAGATTCAGAACAATCAAGGATAACTATTAACAACTTCAAATTGGGCATAAACCTGATGTTGGGCAGACATTTTATCAAATTCATCAATACAACACATGCCACTATCTGCAAGTACCATTGCCCCTGTTAAAAGCATAACCACTCATCAAAACTTGATCCCATTGTTGGTAATAAAAAGACTACTGTATCATAAATCATATATCATATTCAAGCTTTTGATTAGCACATAAGAGATACCAAATTATAACATAAAGCAAACGATTACCAGCTTCAAAAGCATAGTCACTTGTCATTGAATCTCTTACAACTGCAACTGTAAGCCCAGCATTGGTTGTTGCATTGCCACACACATAAATACCACGTGGAGAAACAGCTGCTGCTGCTTGAAGTAGCTGACTCTTGCCCAGTCCAGGGTCACCTATCAAAATACAAGTAGTTTCCGAAGTTCCTCTTTTGGTGTTGGGCAAAATTCTAAAATGTAGACCAGGTTCTCTCACATAAATGGTCATATGGTAATTCATTAGGATGAAGCAAATATTACTCTAAGAAAAGTTGACTAGGTCATCATACCAACAATTATGACATGGATGTCTCCTCTGACAGGAACCTTATTCTGATCCATTGAATGCTTACGAACGCCTCCGAAAAGTGATAATGTGATTCCCGCTGTCAGTAAGTAGAGAACGCAGAAACTAAATGCTCCTGAAACTCTCATGGTCTCTATACACGGAACAGGTACAAATAAAGTTCAAGAACATTAGCATACCTTTAACAAGCTCGTGTCCATATATAGATGGACATATAGACTGAAGTAACTGTTTGAATACATCAGAACCATACTCTTCATAAAACTTCACCACAAATTCCAGATCTCGTGAAGAAAATGAAAATAAATCAGATAGCTCAGTAGCTCTAGCATTAGATGCAGAATCTTGCATTTCATCTGATAAAGATTGCGACTTGGAGTTTTTAACAGAAACCGCTTCGATATACAGGTAGTAAAGTCCTTGACTTTTTCCCTTTCCCTTTCCTGTAAAATTTAACGGTCACAGAAATCCATAGTTTAGACCTCGTATGTGAAATGACAGATTAACAAGATTGCAGATAACATGTGGGAAAGCAAAGAGGAAGTTCCACAACATCCAGAAAAATAAGAATTATGACATTCCATATCACACAGTGAATTAACCTGGCTCCACATCTCATCAAACTCATTCTTTTTTTGGTAAAGATGAACGAAGAAATGAATGATTTCTAGGACTCGATGCAAACAAATGATATTTCTGTGTTACTTTGTGGACCTTGACTCAGCAATCGGTGGATAGTTGGAACATTTCAAGACTAGATTACATTAATCAATAGGGGGTTAATGATTGTTAACCTTACGGAGTAAAATGCTTAACTATTTTACGTAGGTCGCTTACAAAGAATACACATCATACATTACTGCCATCGCACAAGCATAGAGTTAACCCATCACTTGACCATATTGGCAATACATATAAACCTCAGTAGTATTTACCTAAGGTGCAAAATTCATAAACCCCAATGTTAATGAACTAGAAGAAGCAGAAAATACACCAAAGTAATTATTATACCTCCTCCAATATCCGCATAATTATTAATTGTCCTTATAATTCCAGTAACAGTGACGACATCTCCAGGAATGCATCCGTCAACAAGGTCCTCCGTAAGCTCACATTCTACAGTTCGAGGCACCCTCCCTTCTTCATGATCTTGAGACTTAAGTGACTCCTGCAACCTATGCCAGGCAGTTCCCCAAGTCAATAGACAAAAATTAAAGGACAAGTTGGAAAGAAGGTTAACAAGGAAATGCAAGTAGCAAGGAAGCCTCAAAGTCTACTTACTACCATGTACCTTATTTTCTGAAAATCTATTGCTTTAGCTGAAGATCTGATCGGTTTGAAAGTTTTACTCTTACATCCATTTAAATTGCAAAGATACGGTGGTGAAAACTTTCCATCTGGAAACACCCGTGCAATGTTGGATTTACATTTTTCACAGTCAAAACTCATCCGGACGACAAGAGGCTTCACTGTGCTAACCTTCACCACTGTTCCACGAACAGATACAAGCTTGTCTGTCAAACAAGGATGGTTTCCGTTACTTATGGTGTTTCTCCGTGAACACAAGGATAAAAAAAAATGTTAGTAGCTTAAGTTTAAGTTACCAATATAAGCTGCCTTCAGGTTTTTGAGGGCCATCATTGATTCTGGATAGTTATGAAGACGGATGTTGATCCTCATCCCATCCTCCAGCAAGTTATGTTTCGAATTACTTTGGATCACCTGTTGATACAGACAAATAATAAAATTCAGCCAAAGGAATTCCAATATATCGGGAGTCTTACGTTTGGAAACTTAGTGTTTACCTTGTGAACTGCTGCACTCATACAAGAAATAGCAGCTCTAGGTTTATCTTCTAAAGTGGCATAAAACTCATGGACATTGCATATTTTACGGAAGTGTTGAAAATCCACAGGTAAGAACAACGCGCCGTTCTCATCCTTCACCTGCTCATATGAATTCAATCGTCAGTGCAAGTGTAATCAACAATCAGTAAGCAGAATTCTAGGGTTAAAAGTTATCCGGTAGCATTCAAATCCTAAAATCAATTTCAAAATAAATTAGCTCGAAACAACTCCCGGAAGCAAGTTCCAGTGGAATTGCCAAATGGAAACCGGTTCATACCAATTTGCCTTAACACAATCAAAACACCTCTGATTAACAGGATAATTTAAGTTTGCAAATCTATAAAAGGCTAAATAGGTTGCATATTTGCGCAATTAAAGTACACAATCAATTTGACAACTCAAATTGAACTGTGGTTCCAAGGTGCGACCTGCGAGACAAAATCTTGGCCGGGAGTAGTTGAGAAGAAGTGAAGGAGCTCGGACGTTAGCATCAACTTGTCCTCCTCGGCGGTGAAATCGTTCGAAGGAAAGTAAATGGCCAGAATGTTTACGATATCATCGCCGTAGGTTATCGAACGGTGGCTATGATGCTTTCCGGGTGTGCTCTCTCCGCCTAAGCCGTGCATGTTGACCAAGCGTGCTTTTGACGGCTCCTCTCCTGGTTGCCTTTCACAGTTGTGCAGAATGCTGATAGTGACAGCAGCGGCTCTTTGTTTTAGTTTTCTCTTACAACCTCTCGTTTTGGCGGGAGACAGAAGGGAACAGAAACGGGCCAGACGTCTGATGGGCTCTTTTTTTGGATCAGGGACCTTTTTGTAGAGAATCATAGTAGTAACTAAACTAGTTTATCCTGATTTAGCAATTAGAATGGTTTTAATCGATAGTTTAACTAGTTTGTGCCGGTTTATACAGGTGGAATAAAATATTTAGAAATATAAAAATTATTAACATCAAATGAATTCAATCATATATAAAAAATATTTGAAAAGACAATTTTTTTGTATTCATATTTGTATTTGAATATACAACATTTCAAATAAAATAGCAAATACTCATATTCAAATACAATATTTAATGTCAGTTCCTAAATATTTATACTTAAATTCAACAAACAACATTAACTTTTAACTTTTAAATTCATAAAATAAATAATATATTATTGTTTTATTAATTAAATTCAAAGCGATATCATTTTGCTTAAAAATCGAAAAAGGATCATGACGACCATACCAGTGGTGTTAATTCCAGTTTCATGACTGGCACCGATTCAACCGGCTCACTGGTTGGCACGCTACCTGTTTGACAACCATGTATAATAACAATGTCATTCAAAATCTTTTTGGCAAAATGTGTTGTCTCTTTTTTTTTTTTTTTATAAAAGGAATCTTGTAACTTCTTACAAAAAAACCCTTGTAACTTCCAGTTATCTTGGAATAGTATCGTTATAGTCGGGAATGAAATGCTTAACTTGGAATAGTATCGTTATAGTATCGTTACACGTAAAAATTAATCTCATATCACATCGAATAATTACAAAGAATTTAATGAATTTATAAGGCTAACTCATCATTAATCACTAAATGCGCTAACTGGGCTTTATTGAGTTGATTTTTTTGGTCAAAGTGGCCAAATTCCCTCTCCCGTGGCCGATTAATCTCTTGGCATCCATGGTCAGAGGCCTCCTCCTCCTCGGTATGAAATATGGCTCTAAGAAAACTAAGTCTAGAAACAATGCAAACTTGGTAGCTAACCAACACGGTACCACGCCGACAAGGCAGATTGGTACCAAGACATGAAATTTGGCAAAGTATGAAGCCAATAGGGTAGCAAGCCGACAAAGAAGGCCTGGTACCAAAACATGAAATTTGGCTAAGTATGGAGCTAAGAGAGTACCAAGCCAGTAAGGCAAGCTTGGCACCAAGACACCAAATTTGGCTAAGTATGGAGCCAATAGGGTATTGATCAATTCATTCAATGCAGGTCATTGTCAGTAATTTGCACGTATCAATAACTACCCCAATCTAGGCCAAGTTTAACTTATAAAGGTGTTGTCATATAGTGATAATCAAGGTCGTATTCACTCGGGTCTCGGTACCCTAGCCTACTTCCCTTCCCCGTTGTTGCTATCTAGCCGATCGGTTAAGGGGTTGTGTTGGAGGATTCAAGTGAAATAACTAGTAGAGAGAATAAACAAGGATAAAAGCAGGTACTTTGGGGAACTAACCCTCGCCCTAGCCTATGTCTATCATGCAGATGTCTAAACATGTTGGGTTAAGCGAATGTGGAGAGTGAGCTCTTTTTCGTGGGCCTTTGTGATTATTAAAATGCCTCTGAGTACGCCCTACCTAACCCGTTGTCACCTCGATATGGGCTCACATATTTGGGGCTTTAAGAACTTAGCTCCTTTCAGTGGGTACTACCCACCGTCCACACCGAGGTTTCATCCCGAGTTCCATCTAGGTAGGCATTTGACTCGCTTGTATCATCACACTAGATGTGGTTTAGCTTTATTTATCAACCCGGGTCCTAGATGTGATGACTACTCTGTGAAGTTCTTATTATCTAGCTGTTTAAGTGTAGTGAAGTTATAACTAATCTAAGCAAGCTAAAAGGAGTAAAGTTGAGATTCAAGTTCGAGAAAGGTCACCCAAATTGCAGTTAAGCCGAGTTGTAATTCGCCAAGTCCAGATTTAATGATAGTTATACTGGAGAAGGTTCTTAACCAGTCTGAATTATAGACTAAAGTTCTTCAAACCCTCTCAGTCTGAATACCCGGCGTGCGACTAACCTCCACCGGAGTAAACGAACTGAGTCCCTAACATGCAAAACCTTCTCTACTGGAGTAAATCCAGTACAAAGCAGTGAATTGACTTCTCGACTAAAGTAGTCAATTCACCACCATTAATTAAGGGTGCTCTATCAACCTAGGCATATATTCTCTTTCTCAGTAAAAGCAGAAACTACAAGAATGTGATCAAGATTCATGCAATTATGAAATTATGCCTCAATCGAATATAATCAAATATCAAAACATCATATACTTGCGTTCGTACAATCAAACCTTACATACAAATCTAGGGTTCTTCATACCCAGGTGAGAGAGGGAGTTTACTCCATAGAGAGAGAAGAGAAATCATATTGGGGAAGATGAAATCCAGCTTCTGGTTGTCAATCGGCACTTCTCCAGGCTTCAATCGAGCTCCAATGGTGTTAAAACACGATCTAAGTCACCTTGGAGGTTGGGTTCATCACTTTCTCTCTCTAGGTCTCTCTTTCTTGCTCTAAAACTTGGATGATAGACCAAAAACCCAAAATCCGCTTGTAACATTCCCAAATCCCGAAACCCGGTCAAAATACCCGGTCGGTGACTTGCTAAAACACAACACCAAACTACGACCAAGTATAATCGTAGTCTGGAAATGCATAATAGTGGGTAAGTTTAATTTATCAACCCGGGGTCTACATCTACTGCCTACTCTGTTAACTTCTGTTATCTAGCGGGACTAAGTGAGTGAAGTTGAATTCAGACCAAAACAGAAAGAAAGTAGTAAGAGAAGAGTCCGGTGTTCTAAAGTAAGAGAAGAGTCACTCGGGAATGAGTCCCCCTAGCTCCTTAGTTAAGTCCAAGTTGTAATTTTCTTTGTTTGATTCACTGTTGATTAAACTGCGGAAGATCCAACAGTAACTTGGAATCTCTTGAGCTGACCAAAACCTCTTAGACAGACTAACCGACAGACGACTAGTCTTCACCGGGATAGAATGCTATGGAAATTAACACATAACTCCACTACTAGAAACATATTCCAATACAAAGCAGTGAATTGACTAACTCTCATATAATTAATTCAATCCTATCGATTGAAGAAGCTCAAACAACCTATTCAGATTCTATCTATCACAGGTTGAAGCAAAAATCAAGAGAAGTTGATCAGGAATCAATTGACTCAATAAACACGCTTCAATCGATTAAAATCAATCAGTATATCATCCCAAAAGTCATTACAATCAAGATCCCTAACACATGGAACTAGGGTTCTTCATACCCAAGTGGGAGAAAGGTCTACTCCATAGAGAGAGAGAGAGAGAGGAAAAAAAAAATCAAAGCAGTCATACTCAAAAGGATGGGAATAATCTGCTTTGGGATGTCAATCTTCACTCCTAGGATGCAATCTAGACTTAAATGTTGAGAAATCCACTCCAAATAGCTCCTATGGTTTGTTCTTCACACTTTCTCTCTCTAGAACTCTGTTTTTGCCCCAAAAAGTCGACCCCTTCAAAATATGAGCTCCTCTCCAATAAAACCCGCACAAGTGCAAAAACACGACCTCTAATCCCAAAAGCCCGATCGTGTTTTAATAAGAAGAGGTCGTGTTTCTAAATGATGATTCTGTGAAGTGCAGAGGAAAAACCCGGCCTCTGACACAAGGCCGTGATTTTTACAACAGAGGCCGTGTTTGAGGGTGTGTTTTTCAGCAGCCCTGCTGCCCAGTTTTCGCGATCGACCTTCTTTAACCTCCAAATGTCCCGAAACTCCTCCCCAAGACATATCTACATACTAGGACCTGAAATATGACAAAAGAACACAACCTAGCATAAAATAGGCCAAGGAACGATCAATCACTAAGCTAAACGATCAAGAAATGAAGGAAAAAACTTGTGCGAATGCTGTGTTATCAAATTCCCCCAAAACTTAACCGTTTGCTTGTCCCCAAGCAAAACAAGTCAAACACAAGGTAAGCTCAAAACATTTTAACCACACAAACTTTGGGGACATATCATATATGCACAAAACACGTGAATCATATTAGCTTTTAGACATCAACACATGAATAACAACAACAACAACAACAACCTGGACAACCACCAAAGATGACATTTGAGTGCAGCAAAATTGGGTAGAGGAATAGTTTCCCTTCTGTTCACCGACCAACATAGACTTAAATCAACCACTCCTCGAAAATAGTCACCCATGCATAATATTCAAGACATCAGAATCAAGACCGAGCAGTCTAGGTCCTCACCGGGGTAAAGAATATAAGGAAATGAATCACTCACTCTCGACCAGTGGGGTCAGGACAATTTGATGCGAAAAAATACGCATGCTTATTCTCTCAATCCTAACATCTCTTCACCATGATGGAAACCTCTAAATGCTAGAGTTCACATATCGCGTGTCCCCACTAACTAGTCAGGAGGTCTTAGACACGGGTTCAGATGACTGGCTAGGGTCTTGGACATGGGGAAAAGGCCTTTTAGGTGGTGGAAGAACTCATACAAAGGTTCCACAGTTTCAAAACCAAACACAACATTCATTGAAACCATTTACTTTCTCTCTGCTATTTTGCGTTAATCAAGTTCTTTAGAGCACAAGAGTGAAGGCGGTCACAACATGTTAGTATTTCCAAGCCAGTCTGCTAAGAAACACTATTTAATGGGCAAGATTACTATTTTTGTGGTGGCTCTTTTTTTGCTTTCATTTGTTCTTTTTAGAGAACCACCACTTTTGCACATTCTTTTATCCTTGCAAACACATGCCCAGATTTTAAGGACTACCTCCAACCCTCATCTTATTTCCATTAGAAAATAGCAGAAAACATGCACAAACCACTCTGTGGAACCTCAAACAGATGCATAAGGTTGATTTTTCATTGTAGATCGAAAGAAAGAAAGTTACATGACTTAAAGGGGCTGCTAAGGGGTATGACACACCAAGACAGTCAATTTGGTCGCGGGCTAATCCTATGCCTCCATCTTCCTAATTAGTAATAAC